AAGAGGTTTTAAAAAACCAGTATCTGCTCACAGGATGCTCAGAAAATGGCCACTCACCCTTTTTGGTTTGATATTTTCTGCATTGACACCACTTTCTAAATTAACTTACTCTTTTTTTTTTTTTTCCCCTACTTTTTTTTTTTTTTCTTTAGTATTCTGCATCTCCAGTTTTAAAGTTTAAATAGATCTATACTTTCCCCAAGGACTTATGTGCAAACTAATATTAAGATTAAAATCTTTTATGTTTGTTCTGTAGCTTGAAACAAAAAACTAGTGCATAGTCTGTTTTATCCCACTGGCTCTCTAAGGTTCAGGTATTAACATAAATACAGCCCATTAACACTTGTTCCTCTCTGTCAGGACATAAATTAAGTCTGCAGGTGTTCCATGAAGCTTTACCCTTGGTACTAATTAAGCCTTGATAATTAGGTTTGTTAAATTCAGGCCTTTAAGCTTATATTCCCTCTTTGGGTTGCCAAAATGGGGATTTGCAGTATACAAGGCCTATTTCTGCTGGTTTTCTGATTTTCATTTTGTTTTATTTTGGTTTTGTTTTCAACAAAGCTGCAGTTGTGATGAACTCTCCTTTAGTTAGATGGTTAAAGATTCAAAACCTGTGAAGAACTTGGATATCAGCTTATATTTACATCAGAACATTTTCTTTTGCTGGCTTTTTTGGCAGAACACAGTCACTGTAGTGGAAAGTTTCCAGTCCATATGTTAAACACACAGATGCTTCGACTAAATAAATGGTTGTAGTTCCAAATGAAATATCTTTCAGAAATGTACAATGGGAGATCCTAAAATCATGACATTAAAAAATACATGTAAAAACAATACAAGTTTAATTTAGCAAGTGTAGCCCATAGAGCAAGAAGATTTTCCTTTCAGAGAAAACAGTATAGATAAAAGTTCTAATGCCTTTGATTTTTGTCAAGTGTTTTAAAAGGTTCTGTTCACAGGTCATATGGTCTCAGTGCTAAATAAAAATAATAACTAAAGAAATCTAGTTCAAAGGAATCCTCCTGGGAGTAGGGTTATTTGTAACACATACACAGAACATTAAATAGTCTAATCAAAATGGATTTTCTTGCCAGTTAATCTCTTCTCTTTTGTTTCTCCATAAATATATAGCCCATCAGATCAAATGTTTGATAAATGTCATTTTTCATCTAGAATAAATGAAACCACAGCTACAACTCTATTAGAGGCACTTTCCACATTATTCATGGCAATCATGCTAACTTGATGCTAATAGCTTTAATACTTTTTAAATCCATGGGATATTAAATAAAATAATATTTTTAATCAAAATGCTGTTCTTTAAAAAAAATGAAAACGAGATAAATAAATTAATAAATGCCATTGGCGACTTTCACTTGCATTAGGCTCTCATTCTTCATTTTATTTAGTGTTTTATTGACCAGAAAGCCACAATTAATCATTTTTGGGGAAGAGCTCTGGTTTTGGTCAGCAAAAGCATTTTATTCAGATATAGTACATAAACATGCAGTCAGTTTAAGATGCCAAACTTTATTTTTAAATATTATTTTTATTTCTAATAAGACATTGTTTAAAATTTGAGAAAAAAACTCTTTAGTTAACTTTCTTGAAAGAATCAAAATTACTTAGGGTGCATATTTAGTCCCTGCTACAGAAAGGATTTCATACAGAATGGCAGGAAATAAGGATGTTGAAAGAATACCTTTCAGTATCCAGTGTGGCATTCAGATTGTTGTTCCTTGGAGTGGCTCAGCTATAAAAGAACCCCTCTGAAGGAGAGAAAAGGCAAAGTATATAACGATTATCATTAAAAGGCGTCACTTCTTGTTGCAGAAAATACTAATCTCACCTTGTAATTTACAGCATTTCTATATTTATAATGAGAAATAGCGTGATACATAGCATATTTCATACTAACAGTGTCCTAAATACTGAATTAATTGGCAGATTTTTAATGGTGGCCCCACTGAGGCATATAACGATTGACAAAATACTGTAGGAGAGAGTATACTTGATAGATTCCACTTATTAATAGGTCAAAGTCATTAGGGAGATAATGTATGAGAGGAGCTGTATTCAACCCCTCGATGTTTTGACTTTTTACTAAAAAGGAAGGCTGTGAGCTGGGCTATGGCAGTTCAAGCCTGTAATGGCATGTAGAATTTTTTTTAAATTAATAATGCTTCTGGTTCTGCAGAATTTTCCATGTCAGGGGAGGGAAAAAAGGTTTTGGTTTGGACATATAATTATTGCAGTGTTTATAAGAGTTTGGCTACCAACAGTCTGTTATAAATCTGAAAGTTGCTGGGAGCATAAAATAAATTTCTTCTTGCTTGTGTGCGTCGACCTGGCTTCAGCGTTCGCATCTGGGCTTCGAAAGCTTCCTTTGTCAGGAATTCAAGAGGCTTTATTTTTTTATTAGGCACTTGCAGTCTATGTGTTTACAGGATAGCAGTGCTTCCCCTTTTTCATGCCCCCCCTCCCGTGTCCTGTTCAGAAAAACCTAGAAAACAGTCCCAAGACTTGGCTGAGACGTGACATGTGCCTGAGCCAGGGCCATTAGACATTCACATGCCCCCCTCCCGTACCATAACTGGCCTTTCCTATTATATTACTGAAAATGCTATTAACGAGGCCAAGAGTCTTTGCTGATTAAAACCCTCAAGGACAAAGATATGACAACTTTTTTCCTTTGTAGTGGAGTCTTGCACTTGTGCATTGTGCAGCTCCACGTGGGAAGGGAAGCCGCTGCAAGGGCTAAAAGGTGGATGGAAAGCTGGGGGTTAAGGCATTTCAAAATGTCAGGCAGCTTGTTATATTGCAGTACATCATTCTATCCCAGGAGACTGCTGCTGAGGCCTAGGCCAAAGCTATATAGAGAGCAGAAAATTTGACACGAGCTTCCAAATTTTCTCTTTAGCTCTCTTGGGCTGCAACCCATATGCCATGGTTAAACCATCAGGCTTTGCTCCACTGAGACCTTAGGACAAAGCAACTCAGTATTTCCTTTTCAGTGAAAGTGACTGCTTGTTTCCTTAGCAGAAATCCATTCTCCCGCCCACTGTCTTTTTAGAATGAAAATAACTTCTCTTTTTTTCCCCCTAAGTACAAGGTTGTCTTGAATTGCATGTCTCTTGTTTTCCTATTCTTAACTTCTCAACTCAGATATTAGTGGTATCCAACAGTAGGTCTTAATTAATTAGAAAAGACATTGGTATTTGGATTATACAATTGTTGTGTATTCCAGAGGTGTGTAATCACACCTGAAACAGAAGGAGCATTTCTAGACATTCCTCCAAACCCCACATTCTCGGTGTCATTGCCACATATGCCTGAAATGTAAGGAAAGTGTGATTCTAAATATGTATAGCCAGGCTTTTTCATTACAAAAAACCCTCATCCAGAACCTTATCTATAAGAGCAATCAATTTTCTTCATGAATTCTCCATCTCACATGCTCAGTAGTTCATTACTGAACAATGTAAATGTATCAGATTCCAGCCTGGTGAAAGTGCAATGAAAGCAGCAGGCCCAGGTTTTTAGTTCTGCACATGTAACCAAACACATTGAGATTTCTGTTGTCGTGTAATAGCACAGTAATTTATTATTCCCACTGCATGTATCACAGTTGTACAAGAGAACGAGAACATGCCAAAATTGCTATTTGTGAGAAATTGAGTTATGGCCAAGTACAGAGAAACGCTGGGGCCAGAACCTCATCTCACTTTCCATAAAGCTGTCCTGACAAGCAGCTGAGGGTTTTCCTGGTGTTAGAGAGTTTTCAGATGCTCTGGAGAACTGGCAGCCTGCACTGTTGGAGCCTGTTGCTATGCATCCCTGGGTCAGAAGGGTATAGCACCTAAAAACCTTCTCCAACATGCCTGGGACCCAAGCCAGGTGGCATGATGAAGAGGACTGCTGGGTTACCTATTCCTCTTGAATTCTTGCATCAAAAATAACTTGGCAAAAAGTACCCCCTGAGATCTATGCTCTACTAAACTGTTTTACTGTCTTTGTCTTCCAACCTGGCTAAACTCAACATATTTGAGTTGTTTTTTTTATTTCTACCTTTTCTCTGAAGGATATTTGCATGAGCATGTGTAAGAAAGAGAAAGCCCAAATGGCTGACATGCTTGTTTTCTTCTCCAAGTTTATCCTTGCAGTATTATTATTACTGTTATTACCCCTATAAATTAAACATTATTTAGTACTAGTGTTGGTGTGTGCATGTAAAGATTTTGGAGGTGTCAGAAAAGACCTATGTGAATGATGGGAAATTTAATCCCATAGCAAAAGAATAAAGCAGCACTGTCTTTGTGAGGAAAAGATGAAGATATCCCTTGTTTCAAACCCAGAGGCACCTATGTTTGGAGAAAACTTCTGCTAGGAAAGCACTTTTAATCTTATAAAGTCATCTAGTGACTGGACTGAAACTACACAAACTGTAGTACTAAGACACTTAAAAAAAAAAAGAAAAGAAAAGAGAGAAAAAAGAAACAGCATAATTAAGCACTGTAACAACTTGCCAGGGAATGTAGTGACTTCTCCATCACTTGAAGTCTTTAAATCAAGATGGAATGTCTTTCTAAAAGATAGTGGTTGTAGCTCAACCAGAAGTTATGAGCCATGGGCTTGATGCGGGAATCCCTTGGCTAAATTCTGTTAAGCAGAAGGTCATACTAGATGATCATAATGATCCCTTCTAGCCTTTAAATCTATTACTCCATTAATCTACCCCAGTCATGAAAGTGTCATTTGCCCGCACAAATCCCGGATCTCTTGAGCGTGCACACGTTTGGAGCTTGGGTGGAGGCAGCTCTGAAAATGTGGGCACAGCTCCTTCTGCTGAACAGCTGCTTCAGCGTTCAACCTGAAGCGTTTTCTTCTTTAAACTTTATTCCCCAAAGAAGGAGGCTGCCTTTTTGTATGGTACAAATGGGTGTTGTGTTTTCTTCTTAGGCACCGTAGCTGAGGAACATAAACCTGTAGAGCCTAAATCACAGAAGGAGCCATTTATAATTCTTGTTCATTTTGTACACAAATCCATGTGATTCCATTAGATATGCAGCACAGCCTGTTATACAGTAGTGAATGGAGATCAAGCACTTCTGTTTACCTATGAAATTGCCTATTAAAATTACAATAACCACCATAAAAATGACTTTTTTATGTCTCTCCTCTGAGAGGAAGTTTCAATTTACTGGTTCATGTGAAAATATCTTGCAAGTAATTGTAAATATTTTAGGTAGATTTACTCTGATATTACTTGATGTGTCAAATTCATTGAAAAAAAATGATCTACTGAAATGTTAAAAGAGAAACAATCAAGTTGAAATCTATTCAATTATTTAAAAAGGGGGAAGTCATTTAATATTCTGTACTAGTACAGAGCTCCTCCTTACAAATAGTTATGTAAATTCAGGTTTGAAAGTTGAATGTTCCCTTTTACTTTTCAAAAGACCCCTAAAAATCATGAAAATGGTGGAATAGGTGGAATTATTAGTAGACAGAGAGCCTTATCTTCAGATGGTTTGAACCAACATAGCTCTTCAACATGTGGGACTCCAGTGCAAGGCAGTCACAAATTAATCAAAGTTAAAGTCAAAGCCAAGCTGCACGATGAGGGTGTCTTCTTTTTCTAACAACGTTGCTTGTATCACCTACAACTTCCCAGCAGGCTGCATAAAACAGATCTCAGGTTAAATTTTCACCAATATTGCACGATTTCTGTGTGGAAATTTTACTTTCTGATCCAGATCACAAATCAGTGGCACTGCTTTCCCTGTCCTGGAAAGAGCCCAGTCCATAAGGCAGGTCCATCATACACTCGTGTCAGAGCCCAGACAAGCCAGCAGGGCTGACCCTGGATCATCTGTTGAGCCAGGGGAGATGAAGTGAATCCCACATTGGTTTTAGTGCTCTTATGTTTCTCAGCTCTTCTAGCTGTTGGGTTTTTGATTTTGGTAGCTGGAAAGAAAGCAGTTGCCAAAGATGAGCGGGAGGCTGGAGTGAGATGGAGGTTCGAGGTGTGTTGCAGGTGTTTTGGGAACCTGCCATCTTGTGAGGAGCCTTCTGTGGTTTGTTCAGCCCTTTTACTGTCTGTTTTGGGCTACTTCTGAAGATAAAACCAGATGTGTCTTTTCTGGAAAAAGAGGCTTACAGGCTTGAATTTTCTCTGCTATTTGTGGGTGCTCCTGGATGTTTTCCTTGTGAGACCTACTGATCAAACTTTTTCCGCAATTTCATAACCTGAGCCGGTGTTTCAAGTGCTGTTCACTCAGCTCCTGGAGGATGTGAGGCCATGTGACCTCTTTCCTGAGGTGAATCAGTGTCGTTTGGTGCCTTCTTTAGTCTTGTGGGCACACGTGGGCAGGGGTGAGGACAGGACATATGTACCACCACTAAAAATTACGTGGATAAAACTCGGATCCCGTTTCTTACAGAAGCCTCCCAGAGATGTGTGCTCACTGTTCAGCTGTTAAGATTGTTATTAAACTTTATGGACCATAAACCCCATGGAAACAAGGAAAGTGAACAACTATGCTATTACAACAGTGTCAAAACAGGAGACATATTTCATAGCCTCAAAACTGTAAGCCTGCCTTCATGCAGCATTTCAGCCCTCGTGGGCTGCCTCAGACTAGTGTTTATTTAATCTCTAAATTAAATGCAATGTTGCTAATACATAAAGCCTGGAAAAATATGTTCCTTTTAGTTTAAAGTTCAGTTTCATAAATCTAGCTTTGCAGACTGCCTTCTGAAATGGGAGTTGATTTTTTTTTTTTTTAATTTAAATATTTGTCAGACATCCATCATCTCTTAATATTTCCTGTCATGGGGATCTACTTAATTCCAAACTAAATCCATCTTGATTTTCACTAAATGCCCCGACTTGCTCAGTACAACAACAGAGTCCTGATTAGGGGAGACAGACAAACAAGGGGATGAAAACATCTTTGACACACTGTTGGGGGGGTTTGAGGAGGGAGAACAGAGATGTGAAATGCAACCTGACTCAACAGGGCAATGTATTTACTTTCAAATGTATTTATTTTAGAAAGGAACTGTCAAGCTCTGTGTGTAAGTGTGGTTTATTTAACATGTTAGCAGACCTGTCCCTTGTATGTATATATTTGCCTTTCAGTGTCCTCCTGAAAATTGCTTTTGCCTGGGCCAAGTTACAACAGTTTAAATACCGTCTTTCATGAAAGCACAGGAAATTTCTAACAACAGCACTTTAAAAAAAAAAATCCCCCAAATTCATATTGCAATATTTTAAAGACTGGGGAGCATGTAGGGTTTTCTGTATTTTTTAAACCACCTCAGTGGTGGGAAACCCATCCATTCCCTTTTCTCAGAGCTTATTAGCTCTGTCCTATATAATGGAATATTTTAAAGTAGGTGAAGGTAGTGTCTAGTTTTGACGTTGTTAAGCTAAAGAAAAAGTGAAGATGCAGTGATGTTTGATTTTTTTACTTTTATTTTTTTTGTTATTAAAGGGTAAATTCCTCCAAATTGATTTTTTTTTTTCCGTAAAGAGAGGCTAATGTAGCGAAGTGGAACTGCATAGGAAAACAATAAAAATAAAGGTGGTATAACTGAAACTTTATAGAACATTATCAGACACTATCACATCCTGTGATCTTGCTTGTTTCTCCATGATTTGTGGGTTCCTGCTCTGTTGAAGGGTGTTTTTATATATTTGGTGTTTGTTTGTTTGGGTTTTTTTTTTTTCATTCAAGCATCCGAAAGTGATTTCAGGATCTGAAAACAGGTAATCAAGTTTAAAAAAGTAATGACTACTACATTTAATAAGAATGGAAACTTAATATTTCTTCTTTTCCCTTCCTCTAATGATGATTAATAAAAAGGCAGCTTCAGCATGACCTGTCCCTCCTCCTACACACACGCTTCCCTTTTTTCTGCAGCCTGCTAATGACTATCACTGTAATTGTTGGACGCTGTTGATCATAGGAAAGGGATGTATTTCATGCTGCTGTTTATTTTGGGTCTATAAAGCTGATATTCCTGTGATTCTCCTATCTGAGCTGATTAATTGCCACCAAATTAGGGACTGTGCTTTGAAGGAATTTAACCTGTTGTTTTCTGTTTGTGGCAAACGTGTTAATGCTGGTGAGGCAAGTTTGGTACCTGGGTGTTATCCTGGTTTCTTATTCCTCAAATGGGATCGCCTGAGTAGGGTTTAAAATGCTATGAGCCTGCAACTGGAAACAATTTTTCATGTGACTGGGAGGTTGTTTTTCCTAAGCACCTTGCTAAGTGTACATTGATAGTGTTGCATGTAAACTGACCTACTGTACAGTTCTTGCTGGCAATAACATTATTTATTTGAATTTATTGGGAGCTATTTTTTAAAGAATGATAATCTTATCTAGTGTGTCCTGCTGAGAGAATTGTTTGTAAACATGCCAGGAGAAACTAAGGTAGAAAACACTTGAAACTGGTTCCTCTATGAAAATCAGAGAGGGAAATAAGCTGAGTGATATATTTATATATTTATATGCATACATTTTTTAAACTAGGTAAGCAATTCATATGAAAATATCCAGGATAAAAGAGTTATTATGCCAGGAAGACCTGTGTTCTTCCCCAAGAGCTTCTACTGTAAAATGTCTTGTTCCTTAAGTAGGCATTATGTTACTGTATTTTATAGGTACCTTTCCAAAAGAAATTTAATTACATCGTCATTTTAGATGGTAAGAATAAGCTCCACAGTATACACTTCCCAAAAAGTGAATTCATTTTTAATGTGCCATCTGTTGCTGCAATACAATACAAAGATAAATAGTTGAAAAAGAGAAAGAGAATTGACAAGAAAGAGAAATGGGTTTTGATTTGCCCTTTCATCACACACATAAAACAACATAAGCTCAATCAATGCACAGAAATGAAAGCTAATACATAATAGCCATTGGTCCTGAGTTTTCCCCACCTATTGTTTCAAGTCCTAATTAAGAAAGAGGAGATCCAAGCTGGTGCAGCTCCTGCTGCCTGCCCGGGCTCGGCTGTGCCACGTCAGGCTCCTGGTGGATGTGGGGAGGCTGAGAACTCTCCCACCCTGCTGAAGGTGGGCTGGTGTTCCCATTTCCTGGGAACAGGGAGAACCAGCATGTGAACTCATAAAAGCCCTGGCCAGGAAGGTTTAATCAGCTCTCTTTATGAAAAGGGATATTGATGGATAGTTCGGGATCCTTTACCGGAGAGATCCCCCACTCCAATGTCGTGCTTTTAGACAGCTTAAAGCTGTGATTAATATTTAGCAAAGTGATGTATGGGGAGCCTTGACAACTGAGGTTATTTACTATGTATAATTAGCCATGGTTATTATTTGTAAAAGACACTTTGTGGATTCTAGATGTAAGTAACAAAGCCCAGTAAGAGGGTTTTATTAGTTATAAAGATAAGTTAGTATCAAAAAGATGTTCTGTAAAGCCCATTATTCAAATGTTTGAAAAGAAATATTGAATGGAATTATAAGCATAAAGCCTTTTCTTCTTCAGGGACACATGCTTCTATAAAGATTTTCTGGTGAGATAAGTTTGTCTATTCCTCATCTTCCCTTCCCTCCTTGTGTTTAAAATGAACTACATTTCAGAGACATCTGTGTGTAGACTCTCAAAGCTTTAAAGGAACAACAGGGTAAGGAAATGAGCATTGTTAGCTTAGTGAAATAAATTCCACCTGACACTTTAAGGTGACATTGCTTGCTTCAACAGGAGGAGAGTAAAGAAAGAAATTCTATCTTTCCTATGATGGGAAATATCCCTTTATTTCAGACCCAAAATATATTAAAAAATAATAATAAAAAAATTAATTTACCACTTTTCCCAGGTTACTGAAATTCTGTTTTGAAGAAGTGGGAAAGTGGTTTAAATAAAGCACTTGGTATGTGTACATGTCCTTTCTTATCAGCACTTCTTAGAGTCAAGTGGTGAAAGAGTTACATGCGTAGACACCTCAGAGTTGGAGACTTCATAAATAGCTCAAGATAGAGATTGTTTGATTTTTTTCCCCTTTATTATAGAAAAAAAATGCTAAGACCCCCCAAAACCTAACCAAACCAACCAACCAAAAAAAAAAAAAAAAAGAGAAAAAAAATCTCTAAGTATTGTGTGGCAAACTAGGGATAAATAGGGAGGCATATTTTGCTATGGATATTGTGGTAAAATTAGGTAATTGGAAAGGGGTTTTGTGCCTGATTTAAAAAGGTTTGGAGCAGTTCCCATCCCAGGTAGGTCTTAAAATTGAAAGACCCCTTGGGCATCTGCTGCATAAGAAAATTTCAGCTTGGCCTTGAGAAACTATATGCAGATTTCCTTGGAGCACTCTCAGCTTATTTATCTCGCTTCCATTTAGTGCATATCAACCAGATTTCAGGAGTTCAGCAAATGTGATCAATTAAATTATATACATGATATATATTTTAAAAAATATATATGATATAAATTTAATGATGTGATAAAAGCCTTGGTTCTGATCTGGGCTCTACCCCACTAAGCTTTGTGATTCCTCCTTTAAAAGGTAGTTGTTCTAGGAGGAAAATGAAGGAGAGATGGTGTTGGTGATGCTTTCTCGTGGCTTTATTACATCTGTAAATCCTTCTGTGCTGATCATGACAGTAATTCCAAAGAGCAGTTTCTGACTTCTGTACTGAGATACGTGTGGGAATAATGGAGTTTTGTTGTGTCTGATCTCAGGTTGGCTTTATTATGCAAAACCAGTGAGCAGCTCCTAGTGCTCAGAGAAATCCTGGTGGAACATATTAACAAAAGCATGAACAATTACTCTTCGCTGACTGTCAAACGATGCAAGCCTTGTCCTCAGTTACAGGGAACATGGTTTAGTTTTGTTTTATGTTGTTGTTGTTGTTATTTAATTGTGGGAGAAAGAAGTTTTCCTTCATACCTCTCTCTTCATCTCAGTCTCATTCATATTCTCCTCCTCTTTCCCTTTTCCTTTCTTTCCCCTTTTGTTTTCCTACAGATTTCTAAATCTGATTAGCAGTCACTACAGCTTGAGAAATAGGCCATTGTTTCCATCCAAAATTTGCATTTATCTCCACTTAGGCCTTCTTGGCCGAGGGGTAATAAAAGAAAGCATTTCAGTAATTTTTGAAGAATAATGTTCCCTTGGTTTTGGTTGTGGTTTTTTTGGTTTGTTTTTTTTTTTTTTTCCTTAAGCAAGGATTTTTTTTTTTTTTAACTTTATAATGAGGATATTTAGCTCTGTAGGAAAAACTGCTTTTTGAACAGAAATCTGCAGAAATGTGCTGTATCAAAATGTCCATATTCAGGGGACAAAATAGCCTCATTTGTTTTACTGCTTTTCTTCAGTGATTAACACTGTTGCTGAGAGTTCTAGTTTAATTCTTGCTGTTTCGATTTCAGAAGAGTTTGGGAGTATTTATCAAAGTTTAGACAGGATTAGAAGTTTGAGAAACAGCCTTCAGTAAGTATTTATGTAGTTTATGAATTCTTTATTTTTTTTTGCTGTGCAGAGTTAATAGACTGAACAAAATAGGTGTGTATAGTATCAAATCATTCAGTCCAGTTATGGTACCAGAAAGATTATTTGTAGAATTAGTGTTTGCATCTTGATTTTTGGTAGAGTTTTTTCCTCCCCTCCCCTTTCTTCTGGCAGGGGGCAGCAGGCAGATGTGTGTTTATTTCAACTTTAGTCCCTTAATGGAGAGAGTACAACCATATCCAGTGTTCACCTTCAGGGGGTGAGGAAAAGCCTGTTGATGAATCTCCCCTTTCCAAGACACAGAGACAGAAGAATATATGTAAAAGAAAAAAATAATAATCATTCGACCTCCACTTCCTCCCCCCTCCATTTTTTTCCAGAGGAAAAACTTATTGCAAAGCCCTTGGTTTTAAAGATGAGACTTTTGTGTGTATGTGGCGGTGCTTTTGCTCTAAAGAGACTTGGAAGGCAAATCTGATAAAGGAAGAATAAACCTCTGTTCTGATCTTGCTGGGAGCAGCTCAGTTGTCAACAACGCTCGGTGTGTATTCAGTTCTGTAAAGCACCTCTTCAAACTCCACTTTCTACTACCCCTTCAGCAAAATCTAGGGCTGTACAGTTCTGTTAAATATTTTTATCTTAATCATTCCTTGTAGCTGCGTCTTAGAACCACGAGCTGTGCTCCCAAATTCTCGTGTGGCGCTTCTGTTTGTTTGACCTTTCTTATCAGTGCTGGGCTGGCCGGAGTGAGACTCCCCACTGCTGGAGTGAGGGCTCTCCTGGTTGGAGCAGCTGCAGGTTTTCTAGATGCAAACCAAAACTGCTCCCTGGTACCTTTGCAGCACCTCTGAGTGGTGTTACAGGTGTTGAGCTCCCATCCTAGCGCGCCACAGATGCTTCATTTGTTGAGCCTGTGTGTGCACGCAGGGCGGTGAGACCCCAGTGTAGCAGCTCAGAGTTTTGGAAAGACTTTTCTCCAGGAAAAGATCAAATTCTATTGCCTGCTTCACAAGGAAATAATCCACCTTCTTTTAGAGTGGCTTTGTTTGGAACTTTACAAATAGTTCAAGTTCAGGCCAAAAAGAGAACAGATGTGCAAATAGCAAAGACTTGATGAGGAGCGGCTGAGGGAGCTTGGAGGGTTCAGTCTGGAGAAAAAGAGGCTCAGGAGAGTTGTAGCCAGGTGGGAGTCAGTCTGTTCTCCCAAGTAACAAGTGATGGCACAGGAGGAAACAGCCTCAAAATGTGCCAGGAGAGGTTTAGAATGGATATTAGGGAAAATTTCTTTGCTGAAAGGATTGTGAGGCATTGGAACAGGCTGGCCGGGGAAGTGGCTGAGCTGCTACTTCTGAAGGCATTTGAAAGCCATGTGGGACTTGGGGACATGGTTTAGATGTGGCCTTGGCAGTGCTTGGTTAATAGTTGGACTCAATGATCTTAAAGGTCTTTTCCAACCTAATTGATTCTGTTCTATGCAAATCTGATGTATTTGCAGAAGTAGTGTTGTGCTTGTCCTGATGGGTTAAGAAGCTGTTCTCTGTTCCTCCAAACCCGTGTTTTGCTGCTGGAAGGCTTTATGGCAGTCGGTGCTGCTGTAGCTCAGCAGCTTGGTGGCACTCAGAAGTGTTCTCCTCAGGTTTATTTCTCTGTGTTTGGTTGTACAGCAGTTGTCTCCCTGGAGCATGAAGGTTGTGAACTTGATGTCTCCTCACCTGGCAGGTGTCTGTGGGAGCTGAACCCTGAACACAGAAGTGAGGGAGGAAAAAAGTAACTTTCAAGCTAATTTTATGTCCAACTAAAAATTAGATTCTGGTAGGATAGTGCAGTGAAGAATGTTCCTGACTCCATAGGCTGTTCTGAATGTTGGAGCTGAAGCCTCTTCTACAATCCTGAAAAAAATTAAGCTTGTTCTTTAATAAAATGTGTGGCAGTGCAGAGTAGGACACCAGCATATATATTTTCCATTTTGCTTGCTTTGTTATTAGCCTTTGGTTAAGCTTGATTAACTGTCTGTGTCCAAGGTTTTATATATGTTTCCTTTTTTAGCTGCAATAGAAAACAGTAAAAGTGTGTTTTACTGTGGAAAGGGAATTTTTTGTTCACTTAGTAATTAAAATGGTATTGAGATGAAAATGCTGTAAATATATCATGGAAGATAAGGGGACTAAACACCAGAGGGACAAATTATCATAGATACAGGTGTGTTATTTTAATTATCCTATCTATTTCAGTATCTTAGATACCAGTTTATGAAGTGATCAGGCTAGATAACAATGTTTGAGTTGCTGTTCAACTTGTAAAAAGGCCACAGCAAATTATATAATATTATACCTTTCTGTAAAATCAGTCAGCAACGTTCAGGTATAAAAATTGAGACTAGGGCCACCATATGGGCATGTCTTGCACATCTGACAGGCAGATGGGTGTCTATCTACACCTCAGTCATAAAACAAGTGCTTTAAAATTCCACCAAATATGTTCATTTTTTTCCAAGCCTCTGTCTGATTATTCTATTTGTTACCTTTTTTTGTATTTCTTCTTACTCCAATTTAACAGAACCTGTGAGCTTTTTTATATCTTCAAATCACAATGCACACCTGCAAAGCACATATCAGTCATCAAAATAGCTCCAAGAGGAAGACCTGGACTTGAGTCAGACGAGAGGGGTCCTGGGAGATCAAGGCCCTGCTAATAATAAACAGGGACAGAAATTCTGCAGCATCAGAAAGGGGAGATGCCTGCTTTGTGCACACCAACCAAAGCCAGGTGTACCTTGTTCTCATTCTGCTAAAGGAAAATAAATATAACCATATATTACAGCACCTGAGCACCCCCTGCTCTCTGGCCACTGCCATCCTTGATGCAAATGAGGCTGTTCCTCGCTTGCAGGATTGTGTTCTGCCACTTTAGCCTTATGCCAGCATAACACTTTGACTCTCATAAAATGTCTTGAATTTGTACGTGGAACAAAAATTTTTTTTGCCTTGTTTTTATCTGCTTTGAAAACACTTCAAAGTAGAGTTTTAGGCTGGTACACTGAGGTGCTCTCAGCGGTGCTGCTGCGACTGCAGGAGGGACCGACACAAGTGGTTTGTTTTCTTGAAGAGCTGAGAAATTTAAGAGCAGGAGGGGAAGGAGGAGGAAAAGGGGAGGATGCACATAAATGTTTAAGACATAAATTAAGGCAGCCACAGGCTTGTGATGACTTTTGTGTCCAATCTCCAAGCAGATTTCTACGGTCCTGCCGTTTGTGAGTTCCATTCCTTCAAATGTAGCTCTGTTTACAATGAGAACCCTTTTTTCTCTAGGTACCTTTGGCCACCTTTACCACTGAGCCTGCACTGCATGGATGTGTTTTCCTGGGTATTGCAAGGCTTGGACTTTGAGTTATTTTTCATATGAGTCCTACTTTCAAGGGATCAGGGGCATGTGCTGAAAACTGAGTCAGTATTCCGACTTGGACGAAATAACATAATGACTGTGTGCTCGTTCCAGTTTGTGTTCCACACTGAAGCTCCAGTCGGGAATTGAAAAGAGAATTTCTAATTGCTCTGGCCTCTGGTTATATGGTACACATGCCTACAAATGCAGTTTGTCCTTTGTAAATACACATTTACATAAAATATTCTTTGTATTTGTCTTTTGTTAAACGCAGAAGTTCAGTAGCGGTGTCCCTGGCCTTCTGTTTCTGCCTGTCATTCCTTTCTGCCTTCAAAAATCTTCTTGCTTTGAAGTAAATAACCGTTTTTGCTACAGATGTCTTAGTGCTATAGAGAGCTGTTAAAGTAATTGTACCTACTTCCAAAATGTATGAAAAATGAGAATTCCTGAGAAGAGGTTTTGACATCTTCTGAAAAGATAATAACAGTGTAGGCTAACAGGGAGAAAGCTGAACACTTTACTTTCAGTTTGATCACTTATTTTATACCTGTGCATTACTGTTTCTTTAATGTTCACATATAAAATTCAGTTAAATGTTGTTCCTAAAAGCTGCAGGCAAACTCTTCTGAAAATACCAAGATAATGAACTTGAACCTGAGCTTTCTCCATCAAAGAAATCATTATAGACAATGTGTTTTAGCTTTTGGCTTTATTCAGTTTAAATTCACATTTTCTCTTCCATGGGAAGAAGAAAGTGCATCTTTAAGAGGAGGTGTTTGTTAAATCAATATATACCTGTTGGTATTGCTAGGAATTGCCTTTCTGCTTTCAAATTGCTGTGCAAAATACCTGAGTAGGCATAATGTCAAGAATGGAAATAATCAAAGTGTATTTAGGACTCGCTTAAAAAAATCCATTTAAAAAGTAGGAATGTGTTTTTCAGGCGTTTTAAGACCATAAATTGAAACACAAGTATTTAAATTATTTTTCAAAGAGATTCAAAACTGTAGTGTATTTGCAGAGCTACTGAGTGAACTTTTTTGTCCTCAGCATTTAAGTTTTCTAGCAGTTCTGTATTTTAGAAGACTCCAGTGCCCCATAAAAAGCAAATATTCAATTTTTCAGTTTCTAGGCACTGAATATTTTCCCTTCTGCTGGATTTGTTTTTATAACAGTAATTTATTTTAAAAAGAAAAAGGGAGAGAAAATGAGAAACTAAAGAAATGAATGGAAGATTTTGGAAAAGGTCATTAAGCAAGCTCTTTAAAATCTGATAGATACTGTCAAATGTTAAAATAAATATACTGCCGTGGTAGAGAGGAGGTGAGCAGGGGCCCAAGCAGCACAGCTGCACAGAGCCTACACTTTGCTACCTAAACTTAACTGAAGCACTGCCATCTGATTTCATTAGCAAGAGGATTCAGAAGGTAAATGTTTGCAGTAAGAATAACAAAACTACTTCAATTTTTACCAGTCAGCAGCTACAGGGGGCTCTCAAAGGCCACTCACAAGGACTGAGGCTCCACATTGGGTCTTGCCAGCACAGAACATCCCTATAGAATTTTATTTATTTGTTTATTTATTTACTATTCCTTCAGAATCACAAAGTGTCCAGCAATTGCTGATCTTGAAAGAAAAATATTGAAGCCGTGGTCTGAATGTGATTCATCCCAAGTAACAGATCAAGTAGCCTTGGAAAAACAAGCTTTTAAAACTGAAGTTTCATATATTTAGACTTGCATGGGTTTGGTGGTTGGTTGTTGTTTTGAGTGGGTTTTTTTTCAGTTTAGACTAACTACAGTGAACCCATCAAGAGGCACTGAGCGTGCTGCCGAGTATTAAAAATGATAGAACAACGGTGTGGTACAACTAACTCATCTTTTTGCATCCTGGGGGGCCCAATGCTGCATCCACCCCCTGCAGAACACCCTGGGGAGACCTTTTGCTGCCACCTCTCCGCCAGAGCCTGCGCAGAGCTCGGCAGACAAAAGTGACATTTATGTCCATTCTTGGAAAAGTGGATCGCAAAAGGCAGGCAAACACCCTTGGTTTTCAAAACTAAGCTAGTTTCTACTCTCTCACTTGGTCTATTAATGCTCCAAGCAATTAATGTCACCTCTATTTTGTTTGTATTGATCCTCGGCTTGCTCATTCTCTCATGCCTTGTTCTGTGCCAAGTCGTGGGCTAGCCCTTCTTCATCTTGACTCGGTCAAAAAGGAGACAGAGTGTTTACTGGAGCACAGTAATTTGGGTGATGGAGAGTTGTTTGGAGTGATAAACTACTGTCCTGTAGTATGCACCTCTTATTCCTGCCATTGTTCCTTGGGGCTTGTGATCCTGTTGGGAGATTCCTGTCCTAATTCATGTTAGGAAGAAATCTGATCATTACGAACATCAAATCATTCTTAAAGGCCAGGGGTTTGTCAGTCAGGATGGTCAAGGCAGTTTGTGTATTGAAGTTCACTCAGTTTATGAAACACAGGGAAACTGGGAGTGCTGTCCCATCAAAGCTTCCAACCCTACTGGAATTTTGAGACCTGCCTTTGGCCTGTAGTTCACAAGGGGAGATTCTCTCTTGTTGCCCATAGACATCAAAATTATTGCTCCTTCCTGCCTCCCACAGCTGGAGAAGGCATGAACAGTGGGCTGCAACTTCTTCCAGTAGGGAAAGTTTTTAAGATTTTGCACTCTGATATTCAAGATTCTTTTCCTGGTAGTTTCAGATACTGGTAGTTTCACCCAGAAATGAAAAAAAAAGCCACCATGATTCCCTCTGAAAAAACCATGTTTTAGCACAACAATAAAAGGTTTTTGGGGTTGGGGCTTTTTTAGAGCAACCACGTTTACAAACCTCCATGCACACAATTGACTGGGGAATTTATATGCTTCAACAAAGACCAAGATTATATGTTTAAATTTCTGGATAACCATAGCATTATATAAAAAGTCTTTGATGCAGATTTTAAGTTTCAGGATCTATTTTCTATAATTACGTTTAAAAAGGGCTCTATCCTGTTGGTGCTCCAACAAACATCAGCCACTTTTGTACAGATCCACTTGCAAAACTTGAGTCCAAAAGAGAGTGATTTTTAGCAGTTCCCCAAATACAGTATTCCTATCCCATATTGTACACATGGCTGCAGCCTTCAAGGAAAAACAAAATGTTGAAACAGGATAGTAAGGTAGTAACCATCTTGCCTGGAGTTATCCAGCAGCACAGGATGGTCTTTTTTCCAGTTTGTCACCTCTGTTGGTGGAAAGCAGTCATCTCTACTGTCTAAATGAGTTGGTTTTGGTGTTCTCATCCCTACTGTTTTAGCAATGCTGCTTTCACAGTTCTATTGTGTTTTAGAGTTCCAGTCCCACAATCTGTAGCCTCGGGTGTGACATAAAAGCTCGTGACTGTAATGAGTTTGGGGTTTTTCCATTGCTTCCAAGAGTGATATGGCTCTGGGAGGATGGAGAGTGAACAGCCAAGGCAGCAGTCCTGGAGATGATGAGCTGTGTTGATAAGGCAATGCTGCCTGATGATATTTCCAGAAGAATTCAGAATATCATCTAGGAAGTGTTAGCAATAAGACTTTCACAATCTGATAAAATCTTACATCTTTAGAGAGAGATGATGGCTGGGAACATCTTGTGGTTTGGGTTGGTTTTTTTTCTTCTTCTTCTTTTGGTGTTGCTTTATGATTTCTTATGTTTCATGGTTCATTTTTTTGTTTTCTTTGTATAATCTGTGCTACAGGCACAGTTAGGGCTCCATGTATTGTGAGAGATTGTACCTTCCATAAATGTGCAAGGACTGTAGATTTTAATTTCTTTTTTTTCTCAATACTTCCCGACAGACTTCATCCCAACCTTGTACCCCTAGAAATAAATACATATTTTAGGGAGCAAAGTTTCTCTGCTGTTACTCTGGAGGCAATCAGGTATTTGCAGAACACCTTCATGCTAGGTGTGGAAATGCACTGAGCACACCTATGTGTGACCTCTGATGTTTGTTTATCCTGATTTATGAGATCCCGTGCATACTACAGGGAAGAAAAATAAATATGCAAAGTACCAGTAGACTTTTAATGGAGTTACCCAGTATTTCTTCACAGAGCCTGACCTTGAAATTGCTTTTCATGCACAAGTCAAAATATGTAAATTAAGATCTCAAAGTGACAGTTCAAAACATGTATATAGTTTGTAAAGTTCTTGCCAAAGCCATAGAAATTTCGTGTTCTACAAAGGCCATTCATCAGCCTCTGGAACTGTGTGTAGCAAAGTGTAGAAAAATGGCATTGCTCAAGCAGTCGGTGGGAAATTTGGTCAAAACGCTAAATTTCACTTCAGCAGGATGAGAAGCCTGCCAAAATTGGCTCATGAAATCTGTGACCATGCTGCTGGTCCAGTGTAGAGCTTCCAGCTCCCTAACAAAAGCAAAAACTAAGCAGGTATCTAAAATTGACTGATCTATGCCTAATTTTCTTTAATGACTCTTCAGAGTGTCAGAGAAGGCAAACCAAGCAGGACAACCCCCTGTTCCAACATGAAATGAGAAACTTGTGGGGCTTCCATCTTTTCCTTCCTAAATAGCGCAAATAATATAAAACCCTCTTAAATATTTCTGTTGGCTGCATTTACACGTCAAATGCTCCCGAAAACATTTTCATCTCATATTTTACCCCTTGATTTCCCTGTACTCCCATTCTCCAAGCATTGCTTCTAATGGTTTTCAGTCCCAGCTCAAAACTTTTCCATCATATCGAGGATAGTAAGTATTTTCCTCTTTACTCCCTGCCATTGTTTGCAACATAAAAAATCAGTAAAATGAATTTCTCTTGCGTTTATGATTAGTCCCTGTCTGCAGAAACCACCACATTTGGCACGGAAACATCTTCTGGAAGCAGCCTTGCAAATAAACAAGCAGATAGACTGGGATGGTGAACAGATGAGTAGGAAATAGCTGGGATCCCAGTGATAAATCTGTTGTGGGGATGGAGAGAAAATTCAGGCAAAACATTTGGTTATGTGGCAGTGCAGAGGATCGGGCATACATTATAATTAATGCCACTAGCGCTAAAAAGACATCAGGGATGTAGTAGGTGTTGATTGTTTCTTCTCTCTGTTTATACTCGTTTCCTCTCCCTTGCAGCTGTGTGGCTGTGCCAAGGAAAGCCCCTGAGAGCGAGCTTTAGCCGCTGCTCCTCTACAACTGCATCATTACCTCACTCCAAACAAAGTCCTTTTTTAATTTTTTTTATTTTTTTTTTTTTTGTCAATAGAGGATGAAAACGTTATTGGATTCAGGAGCTCACAGTAGTCCTGCACGCAGCTAGGGATGAGGAGGATAGATTTATGAAATGGACCATTTCAAATGGCATTATCTTCCCACAGTGAGGAACACCTTTCATAAATCATGGGAGAGTGCTTGGAAAATAAAGCATTTGTTATTCCTACCATATATTGCATTTGCATCCCCCACCATGTGATCTTGGGATGAGGGGAGGATCCTCTATGTTTTTTCTTCCCTAATAATTAGGGCTTTTTATGTTACAATTACAGGAAAATTCAAGACAAGCTTGAAAATATGAATTTTTAACTTACCTTTGTTTAGCTGTGGACACACACTGAGCCTCAGTTTTCTGGTTTGGGTATGAAGCCAACTATTTCTTACATACTTCCAATATTGCAGGGCATTCTCTGCCTCATTATGTAGCAAGAGGTCAACTGGGAAGAGAAGTTCAAGTATAGACAAAAAACTTGTGTTTTTTTTTTAGGGCTGCTGGGTTAGTGCTACTTTATGGGTATTTTTGCTTCTTAAACTCAAAGACCTTATTTTTGCTTCATTAATAGAGCTATCTCTGATGCCTATTGAACTCACCAACACCTATATATTGTACAGGGGGCATAGAGAGTTCTTTCTGGTTTGTCAGGATTTTTCCTGGGTTTTCACAACCCAATATTGCAATAATTTTACCAGTGAATCTGACACCACTTGGGATAAATGTAGGTCTCCATTAAACCTGTAACTAGCCTGATGTGAAAAGTCAACATTTATTACACAGTTATTATTTGTGGGGATACTTTGAAATCATCCCTTTGCTCCGGAGAGGAAACTTTTGAGAATGCTATGAGATAGCAACTTGTCATTACCTGTAATGAGCCAAGGAGAAAGGCCTTGATTTTGGGAAACGTGTTTTGACTGGAATTGATGGAAAGATAAAGGTGATGGTAGTTGAAGCAAAATTGCCCCTGTTTAAGAATAGAACAAAAGAAAGCATGAATTGAATATTGAAGTGCGTGTTCAGAATATTGCCTAGAAATTAACAACAATATTGTATTAAATAATTTCTCATTTGAACCACCCCCAGTACTGTGAAGTTGGGAAATGTCAGAGTTTCTGCTTGTCTGTACTCACTTAATTCTGCCTCTTCATGTACCTCTGTTAAAATTATTTTTTTCTATTACACCATTCCGTGTCTTTATACCCCAGTGGAAGCATATCATACTAAAAACAAAGGACAGACTGCAGCAAGACAAAGGGTGGTGTTTCTTAAACTTCAGATGTTTGCCTTGGCTACCTGGCATTTTTTGGACAAATGAATGTGGGAAAGGAGCAAGTGGCTCAGTGTTTTTCATACATACAATTTTTTCAAGAGTCCACATTAAAGTGACGAAAGTTGCATTATTTTATTAATTTGTAATTAATAGAATACTGAATGAAATGTGTTTATTTCCTTGTTAGTTTTGGGGTATTTTTCTCTCCTGGTTGTGCTTACAAAAGCCTTTATTAAGGCTGGAGCATAGATGAGAGAAGCCTATTGCTGCCAACACGAAGCCCAGAGCTTCCTCTGCAGTGGAAACTGAGAGATCAAGTCAAGGTCAAACTCACTATTTATTCCTGAAATTTCTGCAGACACTGTTATTTAGATGTAATGAGCCCTGCTTGGATCCGGTTTGGAAAGATACAAAAGCTTTGAACTTTTTGAGTTGGGAGGCTCCAGTTACATACGTGGGTATCTGAGCCCTGAATCTGAAGGCTTGGCATTTTAGATGTTGACTTTCCACAGGGTTTAGGAGAACTTGTTCCTGTGATAGTGAAAATGTATTTTGCTGAGGGCTAAGAAACCCTTAGCAGGAGTATAATCTTACCTGGTCATGGGCACCGCTCTGCTGTGCTGCTCCTGTGTTCACTGAGCACGTAGATGTGCTAGGGGAGAGAGAAAATGCATTTTATCAGCTGTGCCAAAAATGTGTATTAAAGCTGTAAGTGGCACTCAGTTCAGCAATATGCCACATTGTATTTTTGTATGAGTAAACAGGAGATGATCGTGGCTGAAAAAACACACGCTCTTTCCCATAACATGTGGGAAGCTTGTATAGGAGTTTGTTGGATACAGATAGCAGCAGCTTCTTGTGGGAAATAATGGGATCTTTTCTTCTGTAGATTTCTTAAAAGGCTTGATATGTAATAATATTGGTTATGTCATTACGGCAGAAGAATTGCTTTTCTAGCTGAGCTGAAGTATTGAACAGTAGTGTGTATAATGGATAAAAATGGTTCTCCTGGATAAGGAGGGACAAGTATTGTCACCCCTGTTTTGAGGTGTATGTATAGTGTATTTGTCCTTTTTTTTTTCCCTGACATCCATTATGAGGGCACTGTGTGTGAATTTTTTTCCTTTGCTAGTGTCAGGCTCTGAAGATCTGTACCGTGCAGCTGGGATCAGGAATTCCCCACGTACTGTTCTACCTCAGCACCTACCCAGTGAATGGCAGGTAGCAATTTTACCTGTGTTAGTATATGGGTATCACCACTTTGTTTTAATGCCTCAGTGTTTCAAGCTGTTAAATAAAGCTAGGATTCATCAGGAGCTGTTTTAATAGAATTGTCAGGTAGCTGCAGCGCCACTGATTTAAATGAGTAAGCAACACCTATGGGCAAATGATCTTTCTGCACACAGAAATTAATTACAATTCAGGACTGATGAACTTTTATGAGCTAGTTAATTTTTAAAAGATGCTGTGTGTGGTTTATTGAAATTAAAAGAAAGTGACAGCTTTCTGCCCCTACCCTCATAAAATTCTGTCCTGCATTTAATATTGACCTAATTTACTTCAAAGACGCTGGATCTCCTCTCTAACACTTCGTTGTGTAAAGGCCAGTTGAAGGTTTCAGAACTCTTCAAGTAAACAGAAAAGCTTCTTGCTGGGTATCCATGTTCTGTTGGCTTATATCAGTAGACAACCTCTAAACTGCTCTGTCCTTTGTCCTTGATTACCCTCAAAATCATTTTTTAAACGAAGTGCAGTTTAAATTCAGCATCAGGTTACAAAATACCCATTTATAGAGAGTTATGAATGAATATTGATTGTAAAACAGTGCACCATATACCACAGGATTGCAGATATTTTTATGGTGTGGATCTTCTCCTGGTGAAAAGATTTCATGGGCCACTGCCCTCCCTAATTATGACTGCAGGACACAGCTCACTTCCCATTCAAGCCAGGACCACATTGTCTTTTATTCGTATTCACATAACATTCTTGTGGGAAAGTAAAGCAGCAGCTTATGAGAAAAGGTAGTATTATGAAGGCATTTTGGTTAGTACTGTCCCAAGAATCTGGCTCTGGGTTGCTGCTGTTGAAGTCAGTTGTAAAAAGCAAGTTACTTCAAGCAGTGCCAAGCAGTGAATTTACTTCTTTTCTTACTACTCTTACGAGTCTTCCTTCCTCCGGTGACCTTCACAAACCCACAGACTTTTCAAACCTCTATTTTGTGGTCAAAATTTTGTAGAAACCTATTTTTTTGGTCCCGAATTTGCATTTTTTTTTTGCTGTGATACTTGACCAACGCCAGGGGTTTTTGTAGAAGTTCGTGCCATGTCCGTGAAACCTGACAAACCAAACCAGTATTGTGGGATTGCTGGGAGACTATGCCAGGGCTTCACTTCAGCCAGCACTGATCTGCAAGGAGGAGTCTTGATGGGGTTCAGTGCCCCAGTAACATCTAATCAGTTTTTTTTTTAATCAACCTGTCCAATAGACGGGACAAGCAATTATCCTTCTCTTAAATACTTAAAATGTCTAGCAGAGAAGTGGAAAAAGTCCAAAGAAATGTGAAACCAGGATGGCACTTTTCACACCCAACAGGTGAGTTTGATAAATATTACACTTTCTGAAGGCACTTTAATTTTTACTTCTTGCCTGTGCCTGAAGCAATAAAGACAGAAACACTGATATTTCAAAATTTAAGGAAATATAAACGGGAGCAAGAAGTCTCCTGCGTTTATGTCTCACCCTATAGCTAAATTTCTGCATCTGTTGTAGGACAGGTGCATCGAGGATTTTCAGTGTGAGCTCAGATGAGAGTGAAAAGGTGTTTCCTTTTCTTTTGGAAGGTTCTATTGAGAAAACATTGAGCACAGCTGCTCCAACTGGACGTTCGCACGAGGAATGTTAATTTTCATGCTTCAATACAGAAATCTCAAGTTTCCTGGGTGAATTAGCTGTTAATGGATTTCTAAAATGTACCACCAGTGGCGTGGGAGAATGTAGTCTGTGCTGAGGCCAGAAAACACAGGCTGTAATCAGATAACCTGTTATTATAATAAAGCCAGGGGATAATACTTTGCATTGCTCAGTATAGTAATTGGTCTGCCCCGTATCCTCCAGGCTTTGGCACTAGAAAAAATGATGGTTCACCTATCAACTATTTATAACAGGTTTTACTTCCTGTGTATTCTCCATTGAAAATGTAATTTCATATCTATAAAAGTGAAATGTATAGAAGTGTCCCAAAATAACATCTTAGGCTGCTTTCACAACCATTTCAGGGCATTGTTCTTCTCTGGTTGATTTACTTTGCAGTGGATGTATAATAATGTCATTGACAAAACACTAGTAATTAAAGAACTGTTTATCTTAGATTACAGTTTTGTGACCAAGGACAGGCTGCAAGAAGTCAAAGGAATGAACAGAATCTGATGATTTTCAGAACATGGCAGGGAAAATGTGTAGCCACTTGAAAACTCATGAGATCACAGAGTTTGTTAGGTTGTTTCACTTTTTATAAAAAAACCAGTTATTCTTTAAGTTGGTCAGTTACTGTCTTCCTGTTTTTCTGTGGTCACTGTGTATCCACTGCATTTTTTGGGGGACAGACAATTTTTTATGAGTTTAAATGGGCACCCATGTGGACACATACATGGTGTGTAGCTGTGCTGCAGTTGCTTATTTAGCTGAGTGGTACAGTGCTGTGTGCACTTCTCACTGTACTTCAGCCTGGAACCTGCTGCTGTGGTGCTATTTTTGTTAACATCTGTGCTTTTTACGACAGCTGGTTTTGTGTTTTCATGCTTATTGTTTAGCTTGCCTACATGTTTGTCAGCCAGTGCCTCCCACTAACTTTTGAACTCCAGCTCGTTTCAACCAAATAGGTCTGAAGTCCCAAGACAGCTGAGTTTCTCCTAAATTACGGAAAGCTGGCAGTTAAACAGCAGACACAGTCTCAAATTAGTGCTCTTGCTGTAGGAAAGGTAGAGAAAATTCAGCTTTTACATCTGCTGAGTGGCTGCTGCTTGCTGGGTAGCTGGGCAGCAGGGGCAGAACTCCAGGCTGGACACAGCACACTCTGCCTCCTGCCCAGAGGTGGGGAACATGCAGGAGCTAAGGGCATCTGGGGAGGTGATTCTGTAGGGACAGAGTCCTGGTGGTTAGAAAGGGACTGGAGGCACTGCAGATGGGGCTGAGGACACAGGGAGGGTAATGAGGTGCTTTGGGATGGGTAGGTGACTACTTTTCTTACGAGGAGTGAATGCGATGGACACAAAACACACATTTGTTCTGATTACATGTTCGTAGTTTAGCTTAGCCTAATTACAGCTTTTGACTCAGCTCAACACATAATGTTGCATGTCATGCTGTCCTACTTTTAATTTCACAGCTGAACACATTTCTATTGTTCTAATCCCCTTTTCCAAGCCTTGCTTTCCTCCATCTGGAGGACATGCAAGGTGTTTGACCAGCGGTACTAACAGTACCTTTGGATGATCCTTTGGGGAATATCAGTAGAAACATAGACAAAATACTTCTCCCTCAGGTGCTGACTATCCATTTTCTATAAAAATTTGAGCTGTTGTTCCTGGGCTTTTTCTGAGTGTCACATATTCACCAAGATGATGAGATAGGCCAGCTGGACCTGGTGAAGGCATTAGTATCAGCAATTGCAGCCAAGAATGGGAGGAACAGATGAAAGTCTGATAACTAATTTTGTAAGGGAAGAAACAGTTTAAATAACTTAGTGTTGACTCAGATGGCTTCGTTCTGAAAGAATCTGCCTAATTCAAGATAATCCCTTTTTTTGTTTTGCTTGAAAATGTGCTTTTTGCAAATCTTAGATGATGCTCAGTTGGGCTTTCTAATCATAAGGAAAATCCAGTTTAGTACCAACCCTGCAAAAGTATGTAGTTTTTTCCTCGGCCTGTTTATTTAGCTTGTGATTACTAATGGTGTGATCTGGAGACATGTTTCAAGATGTACAAATATCTCTGGCATATGGTGACCTAAGAAAATATTTGGATTCAATCTAGTGCAGCTTTTTTCTTAATCACAAAGTAAGGTGAACTTATTCTCTCCAAAATTGCTATCAATGTTTTCTGAGTCATATTTCAACATTTCTGACTTGATTATGGTGATGAAAATACTTCACCTCTCTTTGTCAGCAGTCATTTGGGAGATGGACTCTTATGTTTAAAGAGTGTTTTATTTTAGAGCATGGATAGCTATAACAGTTTGTATGCAGGCTCTGTCTTTGGCAGCTGTACATCAAAATTTTAATTGGGGCATCATAACCCTTCTGAGCTGGACATGCAGTCATTAAATAAAGACTCTCTTAAATGTGTGCCAGAGACCTGTGCCATGACTGCTGGTCTGCTCAGGGAAACATGGATAACCTTTCTGAAAGTCTGTTGCTCTATCTTTAGAATTGCTTGATGTCATCTCTAGTACATGCTGCAGGAGCTGGAGTGAGTGAGACTTGTGGATGTGGAATTGGTAGATAGAACTGCTGTGCCATTTTTTATTTTACTGTATTTAATTATTTACATTCCTTGGTGAAGTAAGTCTGAAAGACCACAGGAGTAATTCTGTTACTTCACTGACCTTTTGGTGTGTGCTCATTGTCCAAAAAGAATGGTAAACCTAAGAATTTAATATGAAAGTTATGTTGTACATTACAAGAAACATGAAAATATATACAGCATTTTTATGTTTAGTTTTTATGCCTGGCTTCAGTGGTTACAGAAAATCCTGTGTTTTAACTTTCTATTATATTTTTAAATTCATTAATGTGATTAGTTTTAATACTGCCAGAATTATTTCACTGTTTCAGTAGAAACCATGGGAAATTCACTAAAGAGCTTTGTTTCTCATGTCACCAAAAATTATCCTATAAAATTCTAAATTATACACCAGTAACAGTTGAAGAAGGAAGACTGAAATTGAGCAATTTTGCCTATGGCTTGTATTGCAGCTAAGTTTATGAGGAGTGTTATACCCAACGACTCTAATGGAAACCCCTCGCCAAAAACTTTATCACAGTGATAAGAATAAAAATTTTATGTTGTTTCCTTCATTGAGCACCAGAAAATACATCTTTGTAAATATCATCTGCTTAATCTGTATGCCATGCAGGTCTGTTCCAAAGTAAATCATTGGATTTACTGGATGGGACTGCTACCAGTTTTTAAATTTATGCTTTACTGTTTTGAGAAACATGGCATCAAATAAACAGAAGGAACATAAGAAAATACAACCCTGACAACCAATAACTAGGAACTAGTCGAAGTCTATGGTTTTCTAGGTCTGTGACAAAATGTCTTTATATATAATAATTGTTGTTATGTAGTAGTGTAAGATTTATGATGTCCTTAACAATTCATGCCCTAAGAGTTTGTGATTTATAAATTATGTGCCAGTGTGTCAAAGAATACCTGTTGTGCTTCTGGTACTGATGTTTGGGTTTTGTTTGTTTGTTTATTTGTTTTGTTGGGTTTTGTGTTTGTTTTTTTGGGGGAGGATTGTTTGTTTGGTTTGTTTTTGTCATTTGGGTTTTTGTTGTTGTGTTGGGGTTTTTTATAGTGATGCCTTTTTTGTGGAGCTATTGCAATGAACGTGAGTACAACACAGCATTATTAATTAAAAAGTCATTATTTGCAAATAATTATCTTGAAGTAGTATTTCAAACGCTACAAATAATTTGTCTCAACACAGCTGGCGACTCTTGGCGGTTTTTTGCTAGACACCTTTCCATGAGGGTGGGAGGGGGACCAGCTCTTTATAATTGTGTTTGTCATATCTTGAATTTATTCCCCCCCAATTCTCTTGAATCCTGACTGTGTTCCTCTCATGGATGTCCCTGCATATATAGGCTTTTTTCTGAGAAGTGTTTCGAAGGTGTGTGTTCTCTTGACTTGTAAGTATTCCTTGAAGCTTTTGTTTTAGGGTTTAATATGGCTTAAATGGCATTTTTAGTGAGTGCTGCAGAAATGAGTGCTGCACTTAGTGAGGTTTCTGCTGATGTCCTGACAGACAGCTTGACCTCTTGCCACTTCCCGATGGACACTTGTCCACAGCCAGCCCCAGTGCCATCTTTTGAACATGGGGATTATGAAGAAAGTGAAAATTCAGGTTTATAAATGTCTGTAGGAAGAGGGAAAGTCTCCAAAATAGATGTTCAGGATCCATCCATAACTGGACTTCAGCAATGCTGCCTTGGAGCACACAGAGTCACTGATGTGTGTTTTTAAGTGTGTTCTCTTCCGTCACCCACACAATTTATAAAGCACAAAGAGGCTTCTTTGAGGTCACAGAGAAAAGCAGCCTTTCCACAAATACCTCCATGGTAGCAAACCTGGCCTGGAATATCATCCTGGTCTGCCCTGAACCTGTCATTTCCCAGAGACCATGAATTTGCCTGTGCAGAACAGAGATGTCACAGCTCCTGGTGACTGAAGGAGGTGTTGTGTCTGTGAGAAGGACGGGGCCCAAGCCCTGCATACCTTTAATCTTGTGTCTTTTTCCTGTGAAGCCTCTGTAATTCATAACACAGTCACGTTATTCAGGAACGTTTCCTTAGACAGATTCTATCTCTGAGAGCTTAAGTCGAGGGATTTTCAAACAGTCACTTGATTTATGTATGTGAGCATGTAGCTCATAAGAGGAGTTTATTTTACAACTTCTTTAGTGCTGTGCACCAGAAAACCTCCAGTAGTTTAAACTCACTTAATGTTCTTTTTCTTCTGTTCTGAACCCTTCTGTCATGTGTGAGTGTAGGTTGGTTTCTCATCATTTTAGGAGTTTGGTAAAATTACGTGGTGAGGAAGGTGACTGATGCTTCCATTTTGATTTCATTCTGTGGTTCTGGTGGTTTATTGTCACTGTGCCAGAGATAGAATTTCAGTTCTCAATCCTGTCTTCAGCCCCATTTGCTACATATTTGTGTGTTTGTTGCTGTTTGAACCATTTTTGTGTGAATAGATTTAAATTGGGCCCCTGTGAAAACACAGGTCCTAAAGCATTACTTTTTCATAGTTTGAAGACACCTTTATGAAAGTCAAATGTCATCTGAATTTATTTTTTCAGTCCATCACTAATCCTTAGATGAGTGAAATACTGTGTTGTCCTTTTAAAACTGGGACTGACTGACTGAGTGTTCAACCACAGTTGCTTTTTGAGGTTTTGATTCCTATTGAAATGGTCCTTTTAATGTCATCTTTAATTTAATCAGATAATGTCATCAAAATAACATTTACTCTATTACTGCAAATTCACTGCATTATTAGCCAGTGTAACTAGACAAAAAAAGATAGTATGAACCCCCATGGAAATCTATCCTTCCAGGAAAAATGGATACAGTTCACAGAAGCTCTATATTTAATTTGCAATTTCAAAGCACTCTCTATGGAAAGATTTTATGATTCTGAAATAATTTAAAACCACTTTTCAATAGAACCTGTAGCACCCCCCAATTTAGTCTGATTTTTCAAATTATCATTCCTTTGCACAGTTTTAAAGTAAGTTGAATAAGACATTCAACACAGTCACAGAAATATTCTTTTAAGTCTACCACCCTTTAAAAGAGTGGATCTTGGATGAATATTGGTATCCATGAATTGAAAGTCAATTGACTTTCCCTTCTACAACAGTTGCATTAAGATTTGGTGTCATTTTATTTTTCGTTTTAGAATCCTATACTTGATGGGTTGTAGCATGTTTAAGATTTAGACAAATTTGAGAGTCCCTTTCTGTGACCTCTGCTGACAGCCTGAATTTTCAGCATTGCCAGCATTCTCTCTTCTAGATCCTTCTCATCAAAATCCCAGGACTTCTTTTCCCTATTTAAAATAATATGAATTATTCTTTGTAAAATATTCCATTACTGATGCAGAAATGTTTTGTACAGTGTGCTTTCTGTCATTCCCGACCAGAAATAATCTCTGATACTCAAAGAATTCCTGAAATGAGATGCAACTCTGCTGAATTTACTGGTAATTAGCAAAACTGAGGAATGCAGAAGGGAACAGCGAGCAGGAGCAATCACTGTTGCTTAGGAAGTAAGGGAAAATTGTTCTGCATTTAGTAGGAACAAACTTTTAAAAGTACATATTCAGTTGGTGATGTTGAAGAGGCACCTTCAAGTTATTGCATGTTTATGCAATGTGTCTGTTTAGTTTGCACCAGAATAGTATTAGAAATGTAAAACTGCAACAAAAAAAAAAGTACATCTGGTTATTTTAATCCTGTCTGGAAGAGAAGATTATTAAAATCTACTAAAACCGCATCATAGATTTCTGTCCCATTGCTTAGTGTTTGATAGGTTTAAGAAAGTATCTGAGTGTTTGACGTTATGTTAGAACTTTACGAGATTTATGAGTATTTCTCCTCTATTTTTTGTGTTTCTATTTGTTGCCATAAATTAGGAGACTTTGTCTTCTTAATTCAAGGTTTCTTCTCATCCTTTGAAATGCTGAATCCTGAAAATAAACGTACTGTCTTTTACTACCTACAACCCCTTGGCGAGAAATTCGATGTCCCAGGGATGTCTCCAGGGTTGTGATGATCCACAGTGTCACCTCTTGATGGCTCTGCTGATGCTTTTAATCTTTCCATCGTGAGCTGAGAGGAAGTGTGGATTTAGATTTGGGTTTTCGTGGCCCTGTAAAAATAAGACTTTATGTGGGGGGAAGGAAGAGTTTCTGTAGTGACAATAACCTTACTCCCAGTCATGCAGATGAAGGCATTGTCAGCTCCAGGGTTCAGTAGCCTCAGCTTCCACCTTTGAACACACACAGAAGGATTCTGTAAAAGTCACCACAGAAAACACAATAAAGCATTTCTCACTTTAAAAACCAACACTTGGAATTACACCAGAAAACAAATTAGCAAAGTCTCTGAGGTCCAGCTACTCGGATGTGCTGTATCAGAAATGCCACTTAGCAGTAACACAACTGACATTTCCATGTGGTTTCTTAAGATAACTTGATGTAAAACGTGTTGTGGCAGCAACCCATTATAGAGGTGAGCAATCATCCTCTTAAAGAGAGGAAAAAAAAAACCCAAAAAACTTATTTTTCACCAAAAAAACCCCTATTGCAGTTAACATGTTAAGGCTGAGCATAAAAATTCTGTCACGTAGAATTGTTCAGTGAGAACACCAGCACATAGGCTCTACCCCACTGCTCCTGTAGTATCTTCCCAGCTGGAATTTTCTTATGACATCGAGTTAGTTCTCTCCACCTTTAGAGTTATACACAAATATGAGGGTATAAAAAGGGAGCAAATTCTCCTGCTCAGAAAGGAAAATCATCTGGCCATCTATTAAGTGCTGTCACCTCTGCTGTCAAGTAGGAGGGGCTTTCCTGCCAAAAGAAACTGAAGATCATCTATATATGTAGAATGAGATGAACCTGATCACAACAGCAAGCTGGTATAAAATTTATGTTATACGTCAAGGAGAAGAGTAAATGTCTGAGGTTTGGTGGCCAGTATCAGTTACGGATTCCTCATCATTGCAAAACTTGTTTTTCCCTGATGATGTTCAAATCAATGTCAGTTCTGTACATGATGACATTCTAGTCCAGTAAAAGTAAGAAAACCCACAACATATAGTCTGCAAATTACATTTTTATCGAGTATGTGGCCTAAATGTGCTTATTTATGAAATAGAAAAACTCTTATTGTACCTTGGTAAAATTTACTTTCTAAAGTTCGTGGTTCAGATTAGCACATGAGTAACTGGCATGCAAATATTCCCCTGGCATGTAGCTATTCCATTCTGTCTCCTCCTGTCTCTTTTTTTTAAAAAATATTCTATTGCAGTAAAGAGTGAAAATTGTATTTCTTGATTCCTCTGCATGATGGTAAACTTCACCCTTTTACACTTGTGTTATTAAACCAGAAAATCACATAAATTCAAAATTAACCTAAATATCATCCCATTAGCATCACACAGTCGGTTGGACAAGTCATGCACCTCAGTTTGGGCAGATAGTTGGTGAGTTTGTGGATTTTTGGGTTTATGTGCTGAATATTCTTTAGGTGTCCTTTTATACATTGTATTCTGGTGCTCATCCAGTTTCTCACAACCTTATGGATTGATTCCTTTATATCTTTGTGGGTGAAAAGTAGTGGTTTTGCTAACGGCATTTGCCAGAAAAATATGGTTTGTTTTAGGTGTCTTTTTAGGAAAAGTTGATCTACTTTCCTCCATCTTTACAGCAAATAAATGCCAGGGAGTAGAAGCATAATATTTCTTTGTTACATTTGCAAAGTCTAAATAGGAGAAAAAATATACTGTATACTTAGTATTTGGGTGTTTCATCAAGTACAAGTATGCTTTTCTGGCATATTTAATAACTTAAAATTATATGATACACTGTAATGAAACCCATATGGCATAATGTCTGAAACCTGTCACATAACTCACTTCATCTTTTCAACTCTAATGTTTTAGCTTATCAGAATGGAAATGGTGTTCCCCCATTTCCTGCTAGTTGAGAATAAGCAGCATTTGCCTATTGCTGTATTAGTACAAATATACCAGAAATTTTTGGAAGCAGCTGGTGCAAAGGAAAAAAATTATCCCTGAGTGTGCAGAGAGGATCCAAGCCATTTTACTGTCCTTGCTTGGGTAAAGAGAAGTCACTTCTTTATTTAACTATTATTTCTCTTTTTCCAAATAAATATGAGCTGCTTCTAAATAGGATGATGATAGCAGGTGGTCTCTCAAGCAGAAATTATTTTCAAGCTGACAAGTATACTGAGCACAGTATAACTACATGTATTTCAGGAAAACATCATGCACGTCTGTTTAAGGATTCATTAACATGGTATAGATTAAACCCATTGAAGATGGCACAGATTGTTTCATTTTATTACATTCAATTGGATTGGATGTGTGCCATTTGCAAAGAGCAATATTACCACAAAAAAAAAGAAGTCTGGCACATTTGTCACATAATATTCCCCTATTGAGAATGAACTGTTTCCGAACATCAAAAGGTAAAAATCTGTTTTCCCCTCCCCCTCTGCCGTATTAACTGCAAGAAAATATGACTGCCTGTCTTGTTATGAGGTATTTGAGTAGCACATTTTCCGTGCCCGAAGTCGCCTCGTTTAGTCTAATGGGGAGACCTTTGCATTCTTCATGATGCCGGGATTTCAAGTTCATCAACCTGCTGACACGCTGCTTCTCCCAGACCTCAAAGCTCGTCCGACTTGTGCTGTCACACTCGGACATCTCAGTCCCCCAGAGCCCTCCCTGGGATCAGGGATCGGACGTGGGAGGAGAGGGGTGGCCACGTCCCCGGGAAAGGGGAGCCCTGGGTGAGCCACGAAGGCAGCCCCCTCTCCCAGATGAAGGGAAACAGCTGCTATTGAAGAGAGGATGGTCAGACAAAGAGCGAGATTTAAATTCATATAATGTTGCTGTTTATAACATGAATACTTTTAGACATCTGTTTAAAGTCTAGTGTTCTAAATGAGTGGGAGCCTTCCCAAGGCAGGGCTTATGAAGCTTTATCTGTTACACGAGGACTGTGGATTGTAAAGATATGTCTTAATCAGCTCTCGCCTGTGTCTTTTAATATTGAAGTCAGTGGCAAAACTCAAAAAAAAATATGGACATGGGAAACGATGCCATAGCCAATGAAAAAATAGATGGATTAAAGAAGTGTGTGTACATATTCTAAATATACATGTTATAAATACTCCTTTTCATTCCATACCCTTAAAAAGTCCTTGTAGTGTGGGCATGTGTGTGGAGGAACAGAACAAAAGCAAATTTGCTGTCATTGGCTCGTATCTAAACCTCCTATTTTAAATTAAATGGTAACAGAGTTGCAGCATAACATGTGTTGTATTTTTTACTTCTACTGGAGGATCCATTTTAAATGTAGTTTTTATACCACCCCTTTCGGATTAATCTATGTTATTTTTCAGGAGCTCAGCTTCACCCATATTTATACTTATTATTATTGTTGTTGTTGTGCTGGTTTATTTCACTTTGTGATTGAGGTAGGATTTAATTTTAATTAACAGGAAATTTAGAACAGGACCATTTATTAAATCTGTTCTATGAACTCAAGTCTAGCAGTCAGGATGGAGTAGCTTTTGTTTTTGTTATCAGTCAAGGTTACGGATTCTGTAACTAAATAATTGACAAAAAAATGTAGTCAGGGTGTGAAACATTTGATTCATACTGTAACTCTAGTGAGATGCACTGAAGAGTTAATTTATTTTATTTTACTTTTTTTAATTTTTTTTTTGTTGGTGCAGTTGGGACTCAGCTGTTGTTTCCTCTGGGATTAAACAGCTGTCAGCATTGTTAATGACATCAAATTCATGCATTAAAATTCTCTCATTCCTCTCCGTATAAAATGTGGATGTGGAAAGCACTGCCATATCCCCCTTTGTGAAGGAATGAAAATCCAAGGAAAGATAACAGCACTTATTACAAAACCACAGACCGGAGCTTCTGTTGATGGAATCTCGTAATGAGTAATTAAGCTACTTTGCAGAAGTCAGCGCTGTCACGTTTGCAATTGGGTATTTCCATTCCCCTGTGGATACAGCTGGGAAAAGACTACTAAGGTGATAAAAGAAGAAAAATAGAATTGTTCTAGAAATATCATCTTCATGAAGCTGGAGGTTTCAATGCAAAGTGGCTATGAAAAATTAGCCTACAGAAATAACCTGTCTGCTGTAAAAGACACTCCTTTAAAAATTCATAACTTATATCATCTGATAAACAAAAAACAATGAGGTTTTATTATCCTACGGTCTCACAAGGGTATGGCAATGGCAGGTTTATTTCTGGGATGGGGTGGTGGCTTTTCTTTTTTTTTTTCCCCTGAGCCTTTTGCTCTGTGCATGAAAGTTTTCAACTCTGAGTGTTCAGTTCTGAAAACATGTTATGGGAAGCATGTGGCCTTTGAGGGGAAATTATTTTTCCAGGGGAGAAAAGAATTGATAGAGACTTTTTATTCTTTTGCTGTAAAGTTCAAAACATTACTCATGCTTTTAAACTGATATATAATTCTTATGCCCCTAAGAACTCCAATTATTAAAAATAGACCTGAATTTTCACTAGTTTGAATGTCCCTATTCTCTTTTTAGTTCTTTTCTATGTTTTTTTATGGTTTGTTAAGCAATTAATTTACTCTTAACTTTCTTCTTTCAAGTGGCTTTGTTTTTTCAGAGGCAAAAAAAAAAATTAGGCAGAAAACATAGTTCTCTGGATGTCTTTATCCTGCTTCCAAGAAGTTGCTTTTGTGCAGAGGTACCCTAGATTTTTTTAATCTCCCCATATGTCAGCTGTTACAGTGAAATCAAATTAAATTAAGCCCAATGAAGAAACCAGCCTGTTAACAAAAGGAATTGATAAAGTAGTCATTCATTGAATTTGGTCAAATATACTGAAATACTTAGGAATAAAACAGTCAGTTGATTAACCAGCTTCCAGATCAGGTGGTGAATTATGACTATCTGATGAATCAAATAATTATAAATGTTAAGTGACTAATAGCTGGAATCTCTAAAACAAGCTATGCCTTCTTAAAAACTAGTTCAGTGAAAAGCTTGAGTTTATTTTTTCAAGGCCATGCATTTGGAAAAAACTCCAGTTTGTTACAAGAGCCATGGATGGAGATGAAGGCACAATTTATTTTGTTTTGTTGAAACATTAACAATGTAATAAGCACCCCACTGCATTAAATAATACGCATGAATGTGGTTAATATTGCACAAGTGGTTTGTTTAACGTCCTAGTTTTCAGTGAGATCCCTACACGAGTCCCAAATTCAGTCAAGTGTTACGCTGGTGGTGTCAAGTGTCTTTTTGTAGTTAATTTAATCATGGTTGGCCCAGAAATGGACCTGTGAAGCTCTGTGGTGGTAATTTATATGTCCTTCTTCATCATTACTGAAAATGTGCCCTTCTGGAACTAATGCTCCCTAGTTTTATCGTTAATGTGTAGTAATAACTTGTGAAAATATTTTTTTCCATTAGCTTATATTTTCAGAAGAGAAAAAGAAGACGTAAATTGGAAAAATATTCCTGTGTTTATGTGAACTGTAAGCAGGCCCTGCAGGTTCTGAAGCGTGTGGTGTTCCAGGAGGTGAAGGTGAAGGTGTGAAGCTGTGAGGGGGCACTTAGTCCTTTGGATAATTGTCTTGGAAAAGGAAGGGCTTGAAGGTGCACTCTGGGAATGGTGTCAGGAAGAAGTGCTTTAATTCTGGGAATACATAGATGATCCTTCCCTGTAGTCAGGGTGCTCTCCCCCAGATGTGTCACGGTGCCATCTTTTTAAAACCCTGGATGGAAGTTGATGGGGTACGGTAGGAAAATTTGACAGTAACATCTACAACCAAGAAACCATAAGGGATTGTAACCCAGGGGGTGAAGAAGAGGTTATGAGTGTTTCCCTTCCCCAGTACAGTTGAAGGTGTTCTCTGACCATGTTTCGGTACCTTTAAAAACTACCAGTTATAAAAAGTATTGTCAGCACAGTGGGGGTGCCATCCTGATCCAAGCAGCTGGGGGAGGAGGAAGCTGCTTGTGGATGTTGTGGTGCAAACGTGCTGGACAGTGCTAATAAGGATGCTGATGGTCTTTATCTCCCCCTGCAATTAAATTTTTCACAAGCTGGTGTCCTTCCTTGAGTAGCACAAGTGCTGAAGCCTCCTCGTCAGAATGATTTTGAGTAATGATTTGGGAAAGACCAGAAATCTCTGGAAATCATTCAATTTCTTTGTAGTCTTGAGGGGAGGGAGAGAAGAAAGCCAAATATGTCTTGATTGCCTAAATTGGTGAAATTCATGTCTAGACTTGAGGAAATTCCGAGTAGATATTTGTTTTGGCAGTAGAAAGACCTAGAACCCATTCTGCTCTGTAGGCAAGTAAAACACAAGTTTTATCCATAGTCTCTGTGACATATATGTGATGACACAGTCTCAGCCTTTTTGAAGTTGTTGACTTGAAGCCAAAGAGGTGCAAAATGAATAATTTGGGGTTGTATGCCACGTCAGATATAGGGAAATGACTTCCAAATGCTTTCACATCCAACCACCAAGCCCACAGGAAAAAGTCTCTAACAATCACACTTTATCAGACACATCCTATTAATTAGAGGAATAAGTCTAGGTAGAAAATATTCACAAATAGTTGAATAACTGTCAATTATTTCTTTTTTTCCTCCTACTTAGCAGGAACCTACGTGTGGGAGTATGCCCAATTTGAGTGTATGTATCTCTTCTTGGTGGATAATATAGCAGTTGCAAATCTTTCATTATCTCAAAGACCTGTATTGCTCTGAAAGATGTATATTTAAAAAGATGCTGGCAGTAACTGCCGCTGACAACCAGCCCTGTTTGAAATAGACTCCCTCCGTGGCACTGTGTAGGAAAGGCTCCGCACATTGATCTATGGATTTTTCATTTGCTTTCAAATAGTCCCCACTTGCGTGTCTGCAAAGAGTGAATAAGCAAAGTTTGAATCAGTTTGACTTTGGAAGCATGGTTCTGAGCAATTACCTGGGGAAAAATACACCTCCTTTTGACTAAATAGATCTGTCAGGAAGAGCCCGAGTACAGCGAGCCGCTCCTGGAATACATGTGTGCGCTGGTAAACCGGACCCAGCCAATTAAACATCAAAATGTTGGCTGCATTCAGTTCACAGGGAGACTTATGTAAGTTCATTTTCATAGCGTGTGTGTGTGTGTCTTTAGGCTTTAACTGACAGATTCCCACAGTGAATAGACTGGGGAGTTATCAATTATATGGTTAGCTGTGCGCTGCCATTGTATGCTCCGTGGCTTTCTGACAGAAGCAGGCAGGAAGCGAGGGAAGCGGAATAATTCTGGTTCAGCAAGGCTGTTAATATTTCAGTCTGGGAACCTCAAATCGTTGTGAAAAGATGGAGAAAATGGTCGTTTTCAGCCTGACCCGCTGCAGTGCCTTCTGCTAAGAGCATTTGAAACGCTGATGACTGTTTCACCCCAAAGTAGGAACCACAGTGTACCAAGATTGGGCATTTGGGGGGTTCAGTAATTTGTAGCCTAATATTAATTCAACTCATTCACCTCTAAGAGCACTCAATAACTTTTATCTAATTATCTCAATGTATTTTGCAGAGCAGTCAGTAGTATACACAAATCCATTTTAGATTTTTTAGAAAATAGCTGCTGCATCCATTTTTTAAATCATGTGCATGCTCCAAGCGTAGCTTTGAGTTGTTATGGGTGAGTCTGAGTGACTTTTATTACTGCTGTTTTCCATCCTCGTGTATGTCTATTTGGCAGGACGTTTATGTTCATTAAATGTTTGCAATTTCCACAGCAGCATGTCATGTACTGCTGCTGCCTGGCCATCACCGATGTGTTGCTTTGCTCCTGACAAGGAACCCATGCCTAGTCTTGTCAGGGTGGCCATCAAAGCCATTACACTTGTTAAGCAAACTAGGCAAGAACCCAAAGCACCAATTTCTGATGGATGGCCCCTGTATCTGTCACTTAATCTTTCCTCTCACTGTGGGCAACTCCTAGAATTCAAGGAAGATAAGTAAATCAGCCAAGTATAAGCAGACTGCAGCTACTCAGAAGTGTAATGCAAAGGTTTGGGGTGTGATGTCCAATGGATCCTCTTTGTGCAGTACCCTGTCTTCCCTCAGATCCCTCTGAAATGCTTTCAGACCCCCTGTTGTTACGCATTGCAATTTGGTTTTCTCGATGGACTTCTGGATGTACATCCATGGATTCGTTTCAATTTTCAGCTTAATTTTTTCAATAGCTTTTTTGCTATCTGTTAGTTTTTGTGGTTTGTTTGGGTTTTTTTTAGCTGACAGTGAAATCAGCCTACCTATCAAGTTGCTTGAGCAAAAAATAGTATAGGTTAAGCAAGTTCCAAGATTTCCAGGATTTCTGCTGTGCTTGTCTTCTAGAGCACTGTATGCCAGTATGAGTGCAGGCAATGAAGAGACTGCACCTTCAAACTGCTAAAACACAGCTGTGTCATTGAGTAGCCATATTCTTAGTACTATAAGTGTCAGCTATTTGTATTAAATAGGAAATCAGTACTTTCATCTGTAACCAGGTATCAGTCTCCTATAACAGAAGGACTCCCCTGTCTGAAGGGCTTAAGTCAGGCACTAACATTTAGATCCTGGCTGAGTTTATAAACTCCAAGGTTCCAGAATTGAAAACCTGTGATTACTCTGAAGACCTCCTCTCATGCTGACATTCTCAACTGGAACGTAAGGCTCCTGGGAACCTTGTAGAATTTTTGGCCATTAGACTTAAAACTAATCATGAATTGTCCCTAACCTCACATGGACCTGAACACTGGTTCTTCTACCAGTTTCTAATCATAATATTGAAAAAAAAAAAAGCATTCTTCCATTTTTCTGAGTTTATTTTACAACATCTCTTTGTAATGTTGCATGTGTTGTCAGAATGAGTCTGACTTGTGCATAATGCTAAAAGGAACACATAAAAGCAGTGTATGAAAAAACCACATAAGCGAGGAGGAGAACATCTAAAGGCAGGTCTTAATGTACAGAAATCTAATTATTGGTATCTAATGATTCGGCTCCACCAGCACATTGGAGGTGAACCAGCAAAAGTGCAGTTGTCAAGGTTTAGGTGGCAGATCTGTGCTTTTAGTGCTCTTATTCCAAGGTGCTCTTCTCTGTCAATTATATATTTAGATTATGTTTTTCTGGTGCTTTAAAAAGTATTATTAGATGTTTGGCTGCTTGCCTTTTCTGGAATTTTTGGTTGGTCCTCCCACCTCACTGCTGATAAATGTGGCAGAAGGACACAGTCTATTGATAGGAAAGGGAAAACCAGGTGGAAGAAGCTCAGGTTGCAGGATGGCCCAAGAAACACATCTTTGTTTGCTCCCATTTTAGGAAAATAATGCTTGGCATCATCATTACAGAGGCTGGAGTATTAATGACTCTCTTGTGTATCTCAGATTAAAGATTTGCCCAGGTTGTTAGTCCTCCACATCACATCACATCACATCACATTATGTCACAGTGTTTAGGATTCCCTACTCTTTGGGGGAATCTCATGGCTTCTGTAACCTCTACAACTCACAGCTGATAGCGAGAGCAGAGGGGGAAAAAAGTCTTTGGCTTCATAGCCCTCCATCTGGAGACCCACAAATAGGCTGGACTCACCACAGCAACTCACATCCTTTCATTTTTAGTTCATGGAAGGCCTTTCCTCTCATTAAGAGACACATCTCCCCAGAGTCACCCAATGAGGGGCTCCCTCACTGCCCATTTGCTCAAGACTTTTTTCTCTCCTCCGCCCCCTCACCCCCCCACCCCCTTCCTAATTTTTTAATATAAATGCACATTTCCCCCTCTTTTGGGGCAGCAATGCAACTTTTGTAGGAGAGCGGCGCATGCTCAAATGGCCCGTTTTCCAGGCGTTACATTTGATAATTTCCCCGAGATACCGGAGTTCCCTCCCAGCAACGAGTTAACGCGACAAAGGAAAATGGGTTTGTTTGCGGCAAGCGGAGGATAACGGCGCCCAAACTTTACTATTGGTGGCGGTGGAGGGGGCGAAAAGGGAGGCACGGAAAATTGCTTTTTATAATTAAAAAGGGAATCTCAGATGTTTTATATCTTGAATATTTACAATAAAACCTTCAAGTGCTTGTCAAGAGGGTAATGTGTCATTAGCAGGAGCCTTTGCCTCTCTTCTCCTCTCGGACATGACAGTGCAGCAGGATAAGAGAAGAGTAATTATAGTTCAGCAGGGCTGCCAGGTGTGATAAATGGGTAATCAGCACACAGGAGCCCCGGTCCTCAAAGGAGGACTATTACAGTGTTATCAGCTGCAGGCCCGCGTGTGCGGCAGCATCGCGCCGAGACCGACACGGGGCCCTGGGCTGCTCAATGCGGCTCCCGCCTGCCAACCCCGCGCCGGCTCCCGGCCCGTCAGCGCTCCTTTGTGCGGCTGCCACCGGCACGGTGGAGCTGCTGGAGAGGAAAGGAATAAAAGGGAGCAGCAGTGCTCCTCTCGCCTTCGCTTTTTTTTTTCTTTTTTTTTTTTTGCTAATATTTACATAAAACGTTGCTCTGCTCTCCAGGTGAGCAGGTGCCTCTGTGGCTTTCTGTGACAAGGTGATGCAGAAAGCCAGGTTCCCTGTCCGGGCTGTTTTATTCCCCCTTCCCGTGGCTTTGACCTCTGAGTGTTTGCTTCTGCTGCTGCCCCTTCGGGTTTAGCTTAGCCGCGCTGGGGCAGAGCGTTCTCTCACAAACAAACTTGAAGATAATCAGCTTCCCGGTGATCCCAAAGTCTCCTTAATGTTGGATCACACGTGCTGAACTGCAGCTCTGACCGCATCCTCCCCGTGCTGCTGCTCGGTGTGTGCTGGTGATGAGATTTATCTGTTTGTTATTGCTGGGAACGGTCGCGTATCAGAACTGAGCAAACCATTTGATTAAAATTAATCAAAACCCAATTCAACCAATCAGTGCAACATTGATCCTCCACTTATTTATTTCCTTTCAAGTTCAGTGCTACCAATGGCAGCACAGGCAATAGGAATATTTAAAATAATTCTTAAAAACAATTCTTGTGAAAAAGAGAAGGTGCTCTGCCTATAATAAATTGTTATTAAGGGAAAGGACATAATGTGCCTTGGAAAAACTGGAGGGCCAACACTTCTGATGCAAGGTTATTTTTACAATACTTGCATTTTTATCGGTTGATGTATTTTAACTGGAGCCCTGACAATAGTCACAAAAAATTATTACTCTGGCATGGAGCTACTTATCTGACAAATGCAATGCGAGTGGTCTTGTTCTTATCAATGAGATCAGATTTCAAAAAAAAAATGAGCACGAGGAATGAGGCGTTGCTTTGTGAACAGATAACCTTGCAGGCAAACTCGCAAACCTGAATAAAAGGATGTCTCTATGAAATAATCTGTGCATAAGTGCAATCAGGTCAGGCCGTAATAGACAGCGAGGGGGGTGGAATCAAAAGGGGGAAAAACTCATTTCATCACAGTTAATGGCAAGGAAAAGAAGGCAAGGAAGGACTTTCTTTGGAGCGGAGCTGTTGCGACAAAGACCAGGGCTTCAGCGTGTCATGCACCATTTGCTGTTGCACTAGCGCTCTTTTCAAGAGCTGTGAAGCCATTATTGTAATGTGAAAAAAAAGTAGAAAGAAATACTCCCTCCTGGTCACTGGAAGGGCAAATGAGGTGCAGGCTTTTTTTTTTTTTTTTTCTTTCTCTCTCCTCTTGTGTTTTGTTGTTTTGTTTTTTTTTTTCCCCCTACGCTATTTGTGCAGGGAGGTTTCTAGATTCCCCCTGGTAAAGCTCCACTGGGATGCAGGAAAGATCACAGTGCCCTTATAAAAAACACTTCTTGGCACTGTTTACCTTCTTTTGTGACTTTGTTGCCTGTGAAGGAGGATAGGAGTATCAGAGGTCCAACTGCAATGAACATTTTCCCCGGCTTTTGTCTTTGGAGAAGCAGAACCTTTAGAATATTCTCTAGTTGAAGTTTTACAGTGCATTTCTGTGGTTTGGGTTTTAAATTAAAAAGAAAAAAAAAATCTCAGTACATTCCTGTATGGTAAAGTTATCTAGTGGTGATAATAAATCCAATAGTCTGTGGATTTTGTGTGTTTTATTAAAAAGAGAAGAGAAAGAATCCTTTGTTCATTGGCATAATGCAATCCTGTCTCTGAACAGTTCTAATTTGCAAACCAAGTACTTTGTAAATTGTGGAAACCTGGTTATAACTTGAAGGCTGAATAAAATGGGTCATCTTATAACTGAAAGATAAATATAGATGTAAAATAGTGCCACAAATGTCTTTTAAGCAAGAAAAATAAATAAATAATGGGTTTCAGAACTGGCTTGTTCTTGTATAGTTTATGGGTAAAGCAAGATTACACATACAGCCCTGCAGCCGATTCCCAGGACTGCTAAAGTGTGAAGAACAGGAGTGACATTCTAGTCTTCAATAAATCACTATAAAAATGTTTATGAACCCTGCAATTTACTGTCTTTTAAATGCAAATTGAAAGGGGCATTGTCACAAGTGTAAAGGAGACCTGCAGTGGCCTAAAGGAATTATAAAATGTTGCAAAAGGCTTCTGAAATTGTGTGATCTTAAATGGTTCTATTTTAAAAAATGATTTCCCATTTATACTTCTGTGACAGCTTTGTTAATTTATTAAAGAGATCTCTGTGAATTGCAGGGAGGTGTTTATGAGCACTATGCCTCACAGAAGCTGTTCACAGAGGCTTGCAGGGAGCTGCAATTTAATTTGGCAGGCACTGGAGGGAAGTTTGCTCTTCACCTACAGGTAATATGGAAGGCCATGGGGGTTCAAAAATGTGGGGAGCAGTGGTCTTGTCTGACAAAATACTGGTAAAGTAGCAAAGAGTTCCCTCCTCTTCCCAGCTCTTCCGTGCAGTGAAAATTCCCGTGAAATTCCTAAAGAGCACAAACGTACTGGATGACCAGCTCGGCATCACTCAGTCCACCACGCAGGAAGTCAAGGCAAGGCAGGCACTTGGGGATGTGGTTTGGTGGTGAACATGGTGGGTTGATGGTTCGACTTGATGGTCTTAATAGTTTTTTTCCAACATTACTGATTCTACGCTTCTGAGTCCAAATTGACTGAAGAGTGAATGATCTTTTCTGTGCTGTAGCTGTGCATTCTCCAGTGGAAATAAACTTATTTCCACTTAACGCATTTATAATTTTATCTAGAAAATGCTCCTTTTTATGGAAGCAGATTTAATCCCTATAAATTAGGCATTAGAAAAGGAGTTTTCATCAGTTGGATTGGTAGCAAGTTTTTTTTTGTTCTGTTGATGGGTAAATTTTGAGGGTTTGTTGGTTTGTTTGTTTTTGTTTTTTGTTTGTTTGTGGGGTTTTGGGGTTTTTTTGAGCTAAAAGCCATGATTTCTGCATTTGGACAATGTCTTTGCCATGAAATTTGATTTTTTTTTAAAAAAATAAAGTTTTCAATGAGACAGTATGGGATATGAATGTGTACAGTTGGAACACTGTAATGGCTTGCATAGCTTAGAATCCTCCACAGGATACTTCATCACCTCTGTTTAATTTAATGACATAAATAACCACAATGGACTCACCATATTCATACTGTGTGTGAGGGGGAATGTAAGTGTATCTGGCAGCAGATGATGCTGCTTCTCCTGGTTTTCAAATCTTTGTACTCCTTAAGAAAAAAAGTCATGGTATTTGATTTCTGGCAACTCTTAATTTAAATATTCTGCTTTGGCACTGGTTGATTATTTAGCTGTCAGAAATGGTTGGAGAATGGGCTGTCAGGATCCAAAGTCTGTAGAACATCTGCTTGTCTGGCCTGGGCAGCTTCTCAGTATACACATGGTGGAGGATCTTTGGAACCAAAACTACGTAAATAAATTAATTTTGAGGGTGTGGGTATTTGCATGACTCTTCCCATGGAAAATGATATTGCTTGGCTCTATCACACTGCAGACTTTCTAACCCCTAAATAGGAGCAGTCATAGTTTACAACTCAATAGCACCCTGAATGTCTTGCTGTTCATTTTCATAGAATTGTAGAATGAGATGGGTTTGAAAGGACCTTATGGCCTGTATGTAACACTAGTTCCTAGCTGAGCACTGGCATTGAGCAAGGAGAGTGGAGGTCTATTAACAATTCTCATGCCCAAAACCAAACAGAAGGAAGATTCAGAGCACAGGCTATCCTGTTTCCTCTCATTTTCCCCCTAAGATGAGCAAAGGTTGCTAAAACAATGCTGATAATGAGGTTTGACCCTCTCATTACCCTCAACCTCTGCCTACAAACCATCTGCACTGAAAATCCCTGAACTCCACCCAAGGGGTTTGAACTTGGAAACTGTTAACCTTCCAAATATGATGTAGTTTCTGGCATTATTTGCTTCCTAGCCTTTATAATTTTCTGATCTTTTAATGTGCAACGGCACTTGGTCTCAAACACAACAATCTGCCAGCACCAAGCCATCACCCCTTCCTCCTGGATTCCTATTTCCCCTTCCTCTCCTGGCTGCCCAGGGGTACAAAAAGGCAGTGCCCAGTGCATTTATGGATGGTGTTTGCTTTGCTAATATCAAGCACTACATAAATGACACCTGGGCTATGAATGGGTTTGTGAGATCTGGGAGCAGCCAGGGATTTAGGGACAGACTGTCCTAACATCTCTGTCAGTATATGCT